TAACAAAGCTCCACATTATCTGCGATTGAGCGCACGTACGTTGGACATCCTGCTTGAAAGCTAATCACTTCCCTCGAAGCTATGTAGGTACCCAGAATGTACATAAACAGTTCAGACATTCACACGAATATTGAAATGAAACTGGTTTTACAAATTCGCTGTCGGTTTGAGGCCGAGCGCTCGCTGCCGCCACTCAGGCACATACTCCGCAAATATTGGTAAAACTATTTTAATTTCCGAGGAAATGCTACGTGTTTGTTATTTTTAGAGCTCAGTATTGTGGTCGTTTAAAGCTACGGCAACAAACAAGCACAATTAGTCAACCCCTTCAAGTGCTCTAAATAAAATATGTAGGGGCCTTTAGGAGCGCTACAGGAGGTTGTACGAGTAGTAAGAAGCGCTGCCGGGTAGTGCATACAAACATTATTTAAATGGGGACGTGTACTTGTGTACAGGGCGCAGGTAATGATACTGACTATACCGAGCTATCAGTAGCGTGCCGGTTCTACGGCAAATGAAAGCAGTTTAAAAATGCAGACGTATGATTAACTCTAGTAATTTGCTAGTTTTTACCTAATGACGCTTTGCATGCGGTCCCTGGCGCACGTTCGATAACAAAATTCCTAGAATCCACTATTATGGCCTTCAACAATGCCGTTGTAGTAGCGACATTAAAACCATGAACACGGCACATTATTATTTCTGTGATACGCTCCATAATTAACGTTATTTTAATGAACTTTGTACACGGCCCGCCCATTATTTTGATTATTTGATGACCTATGGGAATGTAGACGCGTATAATTACTTTTAGAAGTTCTTTAAATTGTAAATATGAACACTAAACCTATGTGCCACAATAAAGTGGTCATTGCCTCTGCCTTTGACATGATGCGATTACGAGAACTAACTTTGTTCGTGTACGACTGTGTGCGTTATTTTTCACTTCTGGAAAGGTAGTACAGTAAGCTGGTTTTAATTAACAGTTAAAAGAAATTGCCGTGTTAGTATTTTTCAGTGTAATAGCCGGGACATTTTGTGCGGCTCGCAACGTGGACGCTATACAGACTACACACTCCCCATTAAGGTAAGTTGTTACTCGGATATGCAATAAAGGCTCTCACAAGTACGCAATATAATTGTCATTAGACGTCAGGGGACATTGTGATGAGACAATACCTGATACAATGAACGTGCTCCAAACTCGCGAGATTGCGCTTCGGATATCAACTGCCGCGTGCATTATGAATCGGACTGTCAAACGTTCACCACAACTGACATTCGATTAAGCGCTCAGCTCTCACCCCAAGAAGCGCAGGTAAAACGTGAATCAGCTTCCGAACTGTTATAGGAAATAAGCTTTCGGCTTATTGTTTATGCCCGTGACGTTCACATCCTAATGGACGTATTATTTTGTATTCGTACACGGTTAAAGCTCACGGTACGCTAGGAAATTGCGTTTTGCATGTCATGTTCATGAACGGACTTTTGAAATGACGTTAAAATAGGTTTTCTGTATTGCACAGACGACAACCCTTCGTGACTTCAGTAATAAAATTATATTCAATACTCAATGTGAGCGGAAGAATATGTCAAAGCCATAAAATTAGTATTTGACAGCACTCACCGCTCCAATAGCAGCCATAGAGCTCGACCCTCATGCAGACGGTGCGCCGGTGTGAGCTGTACGGTATGAATCGTATCTTTGATGCCCAGATCGGAGGGTCAAGGTGGTTTTTCTTCTCTAAGTAAGTGTTCGTGTTTCCTTCTAGAATCTGTAACAAATTTTTCTTCGTTATACAAATGAATATTTATAGAAATTATGGTAGTCAGATGTTTGACCTTATTATTTATGCTGGGATTGGACTGAAGCTCAAAGTGTCACAGCTTCAGAAACGAAAGTTTCAGACTTGAGGACTTACGTTTAGGAGCGATGGGAGAATGTTGTTGAATTCTCACAAATTTTCTCACGTAAAACGCACAAATGTTTTTGTTGACAACTTTGAAAAACACATGATACTTTGCTAAGAATTATGTTATAGCCTTATCATAGACGCAGTGGTATCAAAATAACAGCTGTTTAGTAGTAAAACATACGAGGACCTACTACGTTCTATTTTGGGTTTTATTATGGAGCGGTATCATATTTACTTTCTTACCGCGTCGTCGATCGCGCTTAGTGGATCTTAAAAAAGTTGCCTGTTCTAAAACGATTGCTAAAAATTTAACAACAGAAAATGTGGTTCACGGTGTATAGTAGGTATATAGAATATAAGTAAAAACAAACACGGCAATGAATTAAATAATAATGAGATGACAGTCGGGACGTAATTAAGGATCAAAACTTGTCAGCAAGCTTTAAACTGAATGTCAATGCAAATTAGATATTTCGATAGAACACGATTCAATGTAGTATCTAGGTACATATAATACAAGTAGTTTAGTACGTATAGTCGACTAGTCGAATGCGCTCGAAGCTAAGTGGGTAGAGATGATCGGTATCTTTCGAGGCTAATTTAATTAAGCGAGCTTCGCATTGAAAGCTCTATTAGCCTGTGTATGCGGCTGATGTTATGAGCCTAACAAATGCTTTTATCCCCTCTATGTCTAGACTGAGTTTTAATTGGTTAAGTAACACGCTGTCCGTTACGCGGAAAACGCGAAATGTTTGAACAGGATCAACACAGCTTAGACGTTTTTTAAACAGTTTTGTATGTAAAACTAAGTAGTGTCATCAGCTGGATAATTTTTCAGATTTATTTAGTTTGCGAATTAAAATCACACAAGAACAACGAAAACAGTTTAACTGCGAAAACGTCTTTCGTCAAAGAATATAAATTTCTTTATTCTAATTCTTGTATCTGTGTACAAAATGTATCATCAAAAAAAGTATTTAGATTTACAATTGAAATAACAAAACAATAGAAGACCGCCTTTGTACTAACCACTAACAACGGGCTTTATTAAAAACTGTGTATTATCTAGTGATCGTCAAACCCCCTCGGTGTAAGGGGTTGGAAAAAGTATCCGTAATTACAAGTTAGCGCAAGTCCCGTGCAAATGTCTTGCATTTGTAAGGAGAGGGATAGGAACAACGACAGGTGACTAAACGCCGTCTTTAACTCCAAGTACCTCGGTTTGAAATTAAACAATTTAATGAATTCGTTTTTACTAAGCTACTATAATAGACTTTATTGTGACTCCAATCAAAATGCACGTATACTATTAAAATGACAATTTAAATTTGCATGCACAGCAAAAAGCACTTATCCTCCTAACTCCTAATATAGAAAATGATATTCAAAAACTAATTTTCATATTGAAAACTGCAGCACAAGTTGTTTGTGAACAGTCACTCGTGCTCGTTTGGTAAACACAGGTAGCGACGAGTGCATTCCGATATTAATACCGTAGACGCCAATCAGAAGCTACGCTGTTTCAATGCAATTATCTTAATGAATAGGATACAAATCTTATCTGTAGCTCTGTATAATGTGTATGTTACATTGAACCTGTGAGGTAGGCAGATAATGCAACAAGATCATTAGCAAATACACAACGTATAGCAAGTTATTGGTTACTTGTACACAAAGGTCAATGTACCCAAGCATACAATCAATTTATGTGTGTGTATACAAACAGCTGGTGAACCTCAACTGTTTCATTTTCAAACATTGATCACAAATATCATTTTGAAAAAGATTTTTCTACGTTTAGTAATTGCTTTATGTTCAAACATTATATTTATTTTATAGAATAAAGACAAATATAATTGCAGCCACTCTCGGTATTTGATTAATAGGGCTGACAAAACAAGTCTGAACTAAGACGAAGAAAGTTGGATGTATAAAAATACAGTTAGATTTTTTTACATCTACTAGTCAAATTAACAAAAAATGTCAAAGTTTACACTGCAGTACAATCGTCCTTCTGCAGATTGCAGTTGTGTCTTAGTCAAGTTAATTTACTTCTACTTAACAAACAGCGTTTGATGTCTTTTTAAATATTATATAAAGAAATAAATTGCTATCTCTTTTATAAAGACCTTTGAAAGAGCATTTAATTAGTAATGAAAAGTCACAAAGTAGAAAAGAAGGGCTTCATTTGATTGGTACGAATCGGTTTTCTTTTTTTCAGTAGAAATAATTGAAATATATGTTGATAATCATGTTGTGGAATATTTCAGCATTCAATAACAAGAATATGTACCTAACTCACAGTATCAAACAAACTAATTAATTAGAATAAATCATAAATAAACAATGTACCTTATCTTGAAACTGCATTAATTTTTAGGTCAATTTGATTATTGTCGCTTGTCGCTAGCAATAAATTATATTTTATCTATGGTATGAGGTACATAATAATATGATTAGCAACTCGAATATTATTTTGTAAAATAGCTACAAAAGTAAAACGATTGTTCTACAACGAAGTGTACTTTACAAGGATCGACTTTCGAGATGCTCACAAAATAGATCGCATGAGTGACAACCCTATGCATAAAGAGCTTTGAGTGTCTATGCGAACATTTCCAACTTGTTCCGCCACGAATGCTTCAGTCAAACTCTTTGACTTTCGATGTCACTGCACTTTATAGAGCCATTGTGCCGAGATATCAACAAGTTGACGTAGAAACTATCGACGATCTACTTGCACTAAAGTTCTCCGGATGAGAGATTTATTAAAAATAATGTAAGAATATTGTAAATAATGTAAAAAGTAATGTTCATATGTGAATCTTCGTTTGAAGTTTTATTGTGTTCATTCAATGAACACAATAAAACGACTTGTACTAATTAAATTGGAATTAAAATCAAATATTTAACAGCATGTTTCATGACAAGTGTAATTTATAATGTCAACCCCACCAAACTAGGCGTCTGCTACAAGTTTCTTCCGTGTCATTAAAAACAGATCCATACGAAATTTATTCAAAATTACGACTTATATGAATTAACTGAGAAAAGCTCTACAAGTTTCAAGTTACTTCGGGACGTTTAATCATGAGGGTGCGCGGTGCGGCGACGGCGCGCTGCCGAATGATAATGATTAAAGAGTCCCGTTGTGACTTCAAACTAGTAGGGCTTGTCTTAGTTAATTCACGTGTGTGTCTTTTTTTGTATAATTACTATACAAAAAGGATCTGTATGTGTAATTATGTTGCATAAATATTCAATTGTTTCTTACCTCTTGTCCGTCGCCGGTCCGGTACCTCACCCACTTTCCGAGTTTGGGCCGCCAATACTCAATGACGTAGGCCTTTGCAAACTCCTGGCCCTGGCCGTTCCCGAACCGACCTTGTGTACCGGTTCCCGTGATCACGTGCACTGAATGGAGATCGATTTCCAGCCATTCTGTTGACTCGGTCGTGATCTGGGACCTTGGACACCAGGCTCCACCCTTTATATCTTGGTTTAACCTGTTATTTAAATAAATAATCTTATAATTATCAATTTCTAGATATTTTATAGAATATCAATCACAGCGACAGGGGAAGGACAAGTCTGCTTCCTCTCTTTCTGTAGTTATGCACAAGGACAAAACAAATGTAGAGTAGAATTGCAACCTTCTTAATGGTAAGAACCAATGATTTTATAAGTAAAATGGTGTAGATTGGTTACATAAACAAAATTCGATTTTCAAAAACGGCACACCAATGCACTCAGTAATAAAGCGTATGCACGTTAAAGTGGGATGGCATGATTCAATATTCGCGAGTGAAAAAGAGACAAATATGAAAAAGTGTGGCCAGTTAGTCACATATTAATGTATCAATTGCTGAGCGCTTGTAACCTATTTACTTATAATATCATTGGTAAGAACAAGTACATTATAAAGAACTCGAATCGCTGCCCTGCCAATCCTATTATAATATCAGTAACATTTTCACAGTTAAACTTTTATATATGAATGTTGTTAGTGATCTATCAGTTGCAAAGAGCCGTGTGGCCGCATATTCATCAACATCGCAAACGACGCGACGTCCCTCCCTGCGGTTGGATGTAACGAGTCCCTCTCGTCAAAGGAAATTGACAGCCCATGCTAGGTACCAGCTATGTATAGCTACCGAGATATAGCCACCGCCATTTCACATTACAACCGAAATGCAATCGGTTTCCATAATACATTTGTCAGATGGTTGCGTGATGGGCTTTTGTTGTGTTTGCTGTAGTGTACATTATACCTTCATTTCTTGAAAAGGACTACGTTATTTTAAGAAAATATGTAGAAGTAAATAATATTTATTTTTAACATCTTTTAAAATAAGACTATAATCAATTACCAGATAACAGCGTCATTAATCGACAAAAAATAAGAACTCAAAGCTTTCTATAAAAAAATAAGTTTATACTAGTAACATAAAATCTTAAACATGGTTTTTGATTATTTTCTTATCACTCGATTTTTACCGATTAAAATATCGAACAAATAATCAAATATACAGTACGTTGAGCTCTCTTAAAAAATGTTATTCTTATTTGTTACTAGCAGCCCACCCCTATTTCGCACGGGTGTTACCCCCTCGGCGCCAGTCATTTGTTTTCTTAGCGAGCCGCCACGGTATCGAAAGGGTTGCTGTTTCACGATATACCTTTCTGCTTTTCAAAAATGAGATCCTTCCCCTGACTGCTACAAACACAGCATTAAAAAAATATCAAAATGCATCTAGCCGTTCACGAGACTATAGAAATGTGTTCTGAAAGAATTGAAATCTATAAAAAATAAAAGTCTACGGTTCACACGATACGCAATTAAGTGGACAGCAAAGTATTCTTAATAGTGTCCCGTTTTTCTGCTTTCGGCACAGAACCTAAAAACTATTATTTAACACAAAACAAAGAAGAAATACTAAAACCAAACACAATCACTCTTTTGATTTGAACTAAGGCAGCGGGAATACGACCATAGTTTATACTGGTACATCAATAAAGTATCATTAGCCATAAGTAAAAAGTTTTAAATATTGTTTACTGACTCAAGCCCGGCCGCTTCAAAGTTTATAACCCATGAAGGTACAAAGCGTAATCGTTTCAATACGCCGGCCGCACAAAAACTAAAGCGGCTTTGTTATTTCACAACGATCCAAGATTCCTCATACAATTTATCAATCAAAGCTAATAATAGTGGTGTTGTTATTAGCGCATTCACTTATCATGTGTCACTGGGCAGAGTAATCGTTCGCACCAATCAAATTCCGAGATGGTCAGTCATTAAGCTCATTGACGCGCCACCGACCGCTCTCTAGATATCAATGAATCGTGAACAAACTTTCATAATTTATCACTTAGCATATGCGCCGGCTAATAAGTTTGATACTATTTCAACAGCGACACCAGAAACTTTACTCGCTTCCTTTTGTCTAGGCCTAGGGCTGCAATACAAATAGTGCTGCATAAATCATTGATGATATAACATAAACAACGCGCTGGGTGTTCGATAATAAACAAAATAAACATGTCGCACATGAACTTTTATAATTAATGACTCGTAATAAACGGGCTGTTACCATTGGCTCGACCAGCACTAAACTTGCACTATAAACAAATGAATCGATTCCATACATTCTCACTAACTACCTCGACAGTAAATACAATTTTACTTTTTACTATCACAAAAGCTTGTAATATTAATGTGACTTTTTATTATAGAACTGTATTATTGTGATAAGTTGTAAATAAACAAACCGATTAACAACAATAGTGTTCTTTTTGTACCGATATAGTTGGTCATATCATGTTTAGGAATTCTACCTCGTAGGTACTTCCAAGTACTATCGAAAATATCCACTTGATCTCGAAGAAGCTCTGTGAATATAGGATATTGTACGCAGCGTAGGAAGTTCAGTGGCTTGTTATGATCAGGTCCTTCTAACAAGAACTAGACGTTGAAAAACGCATTGAAAGTTTAAATCGCTATTCAAGTAGTTCAGCTGGCTTGAAAAGACAGCAGTCTACAACTGCGATAACGACTTGAAAAGCTGCACGTTCCACATTTTTAATGGCATTCCGTCCAGTATTTTCGTTTATATTGAAGCACTGTAAGTTCATGTTGATGCGTATTGAGCGCCGCATCTCGAAAAGGTCGTTATCAGTCAACGTAGCTATCTCAAGGTAGGGCTGCCATTTCTAAAAGCTTTTATCCCGGACTTTCAATAAATTGTAACCGAATAAAAAAGGGAGGTTTTCGGTGTGACCTGTATGGCTGTGTCAGCGATTTGCTAAACTGATTTGGATGCAGTTGACAGAGATGTATTAATTTTTTTTATGTAATAGGTCGGTAAACGAGCACACGGATTATCTGCTGGTAAGTAATCAGCGCCGCCCACGGACACCCACAAAGGAGGAGTTACGAGTGCGTTGCCGATCTTTTAGGGGTCAGGGTCAGGCTTGGGCCTCCGGTAACTTACACGGCGAAACACAACGCTGTGGTTGTTTCACGCCGGTTTTCTGTGAGGCCGTGGTATCACTCCGGTCGAGCCGACCCATTCGTGCCGAAGCATGGCTCTCATGGCCGGCCGAAGTCTTTCAAACCGGAACAAATCCGGGGAAACCCTGACGGTTGGCAGCCCAACTCAAGGGTAACTAACCGCAGTCCTTTCTTTAAAATAAATATCTAATCATAATAGAGCAACAAATATGAATTTAAATATAAATAAAGTAAAAATGTTTGACTATAAAATGGCAATAATACAAACCTTCCATTCTGGGGGGCCACATTGCCGTCGTTGTAGCAAGAGCTAGCGCTGATATCCTTGTCGGGAATCAACCCGCTTTCCATTCCGAGCGGCGCGATACATTGAGCTGCAACAGACATGTATGCATATAGCACATCATATAAAGTGTTGTACTGACACTCGCACCCGGGTTTATACAGTACACGCCACACCGACCCGCCAACTACGGCCAACTTAGATGACATTTAGATGCTTGTCTTGCTCCTAGTCTTGATGCGCGTAAATCATTCAAGATTCACCGACGTGGCAGAAGGTGTTTTACATAGTACACTATTAAAAAGCTTTCGCTGTAAACATAGGCAAGAAAAAAACAGTAAAATCGCTATACAAGTATAACAAACACATTAGCATGAAACAATATAATGAAGGATTATTAGCCCCGAACGACAGAAAAGCAAGAACGTGTATCAATAGTAATCGCAATATCAATTTAAGTCTCCACGTGGACGTGAAAACTCTTTTATACAATTTATACAAAAAGAGAAAAAAAACTAATTTTTTTTCAAAATAGGTAGTTATGATTCACTGGCTAAGCTCAGTTATCATTGCGTGTATTATATCTCTTAAATACAACGAACGCTAAAAATTATCACCCTGACCCTACCCAGCACACGTAATGATTTGACACGTTAAATTATTTTTATAGCATCCGCAAAGCATATTTCTATTTAACATACACATTAGCAAGCTTACGTAGACAGTGGTATTAATTAGTAGTATGTAAAAGAGCAGTAAATTAAATATACACGGGCCAAGTTGTCAGGCAAATTTCTCATTGGACTTGTTCAGTGTAATTCTCAATGGGGTCGCTTATTAGTCAATCTATCAAAGGGTTCTTGCGTGCGGTAGGTATTAGATAGAACAAACAAACTGATATACAGTTACATAGACGCAGTTATATGTATGTCGAATCATTTAATTAGCTGCCAACGACTGATAACTTGTGACACATATGGAGGCTACGCATCACCGACGAGCGGGCGCGGATGGTACGCTCTATTGTAATGTCCAAATTATCTTATTTCATTGTTCGACTCCTTAACGATTCATAAGTGATTTATTGTCAAATACATACATATTATTTTTTAATACAACTGAATTTATTCGAATGGAACAAAAAATTTCATTACAGGAAATCGCTCGCGCTTGTAATTTTTACCTCCTTTTGATAAACAATAGCCATCAATCATTCCATACAAGCACCTACCACTCGTTACGTGGCACTTATTATACGAAAATTTAATTTTGTACTGTTTCACAATCACAATCTCTTGTATGAAATAAAATGGTAATGAGAGCACTCGCCGTGAAATATGTAACGATGATAACTCCATCGCTGAGTAAACATTGCCACTACGAGCCACACGTGCTCTACAACTCTACTAAGTTAACATAAAAACTGTACTCATTTAAGTCTATTTTAGTCTATAGCCAAGTCATTAACCCAATTGTTAATAATAATGCATAATAGTGAAATTAATCCACACTTACTAGCAGCGTGGTTGTTGGCTACATAATTAAAGCCACGTCCCGCTCTCGGTGCGGAACAGGAATGGATTTAAACAGTCATATTGTAGGTTCTTACGACTGCTCAATAGCCTTAATTTATATTCACACAGCGACGGCGCTTACACACACATGGAACTGGACATAAATTTATATCGATGACAAGTCGCATAGCCATAGAAAGTTACATAAGCGGTGTACACTGGGGGCCGTCCACAGCTACGAGCTACGCGACCACGTGCTCCTCATAAGCATTGTGCTATGTAAGCGCAATGAATCGAAAAAATACCTATCCTTAAACAGCAAAATTGAAATCTATTGTGAAGACCGCGTTAAGGTTCCCCTCCACCAAACAAAAGACAAGCGCTTATGGGTCAAATGCAAATAGAATTCGCTTGTTGCGTGTCTCGTTACTTAAGCAGGCCTCTTGTTGCTCAGCGCTTGAGAACAAATTGCAAACGTCATAAAGCCAGTTTTGAATATTAATAAACACGAATAAATGATCTTGGTTTAAGCAAAAGCATTTACTTGGGCCAGCGGTTCACAAAGTGAGCGTGCTCCTGACGTCCGGCAAATTGGATATACTTTTTTCACATCGTCCAGTCTAGCTGCCTCCTAACAATTCCATTAAGTGTAATTTAGCTTTTAATTTAATTGTAGCAAAACACTTTTCAGTCCTCGAATGAGTGAAAGCCGAATGGTAAATTTAAGGTGGAGAAAGTTTCAGAAGCACTGAGCTTGTGCGTGCTTATGCTATTGCGTGACATGTAGTCGTCTAATGAATAATAAACAGCGCAGTGGCGACTCGCTACTCATTCATATCCATCCACGAAAGGCAATATTCTTTTTTACATAAAACGATCGAATGTCAGCTTATACCGCCTACAATATTGGCTTAAGCTCGTATAAATTTGTAAACATCAGTGGCTACAGGCGACAGGCTGCTCCACCTGCGCGCCCGTGCCTCTCCGTTGCCAGGTTCCGTGTGCGTTAGAGCGTTCTCACCCATTATACACGCCAACTTACAATGTCACATGTTTTTCTTTTACGACTTAAACCACTTTGCGTGATATCGTTGGACTATTATTTTAATTACTTTCATTGTACGAGGGGGTCGTTAGCATTTTGTTTTTATTTTTCATGTTCAGTAGTTTTCACGACGAATGTGTACGGAACATAGAGCTGACAGCGATAACGGCCCCGCGAGGTAATGACTTTCCAAACTATCAACATGCCGCCGACGAGGTCCCTATACGTGCAGTACAAGTAATAATTACACGGCCATTGATGACAGATCGATGGAACCAGGCCAACGGCGCATTAAATAATAAGTAAAATATACCTTTAAAATGTGCCTCGGGCGGGGCTGTTTTAGACCTTTTCAAAGGGTACTCGCGTTTCTTGTAATCGATACCAGACGAATAATTAAACAAAACAGCGACCATTCGGGATGTGCGATACGTAGTGTAGGTAATACATGTTTTAGTCAAGGGTTACGTGGATAAAGGGTGCCGGGGGCAAATACATACGGCCTGCTTATGCCTTTAGTGTTTTTAATTAAAATAAGAACATCTTAGTCACGCTGGTATTTCCATTTCCCCTGTATAAAAATAGAACGTACATAATATCCTGTCACAATTTTTTATTTATTTAAATAAAACATATTTGACCTTCTTTTCATATAAGGAGAGCTAGGAAAAGTTCTTTCTAACAAAATACATTTTATATGAAGCGAATGTTTCAATTAAACAACATATTTGTAGTTCATTATGGGCCCGCTATGTGTTAAATAAACCAACAGAGTGCCTTTCGCCGTGTAATCGGATACATTAAGGTTGTTTATTAAGACCAACCAACTAATAATTCCGTAAGCTTAAAGCTTTATACAACGGAAATAAATTGTACTTTCACTAACAGTTTTATAAATGTTCCTATTAAATACTTATAATTTACATATTACTAATATCTATACCTATATAGGTACGCACTGAATGTATATTTAGTGTCAGTGTAAACCTACACTATTACTCATATCGACTTAGTTTAATAACTACATACGTGTGACGCTGCTCTCCCACAGGTGTCAGTTTAAAAGTAAAAAATATTATAGTTATTTAATAATAGAATATTATTGAGATCATTGTATTCTCAATTGGTATAAGTACTCACGTATCGAGATGCGCCTACGGCTTCCGTTTTGATTCTTTAAAATCACAGGGCATGACGTTATTCGCCATTGTCACAAACACCGGTCGTATCTACGTGGACTGATTACCAACGCGGCAACGTGAGCCTTCGTCGCAAATAGTGAACGTCTCGCTGGGCTCCAACTCGTGCTTAGAAACAAGCTGTATAAGTATAGCTCGTAGGTAGATAGCTTTCGTGCACATATATTAAGTGCTATCGAAAACCGATTTGCCTACTTCAGATCGGCTAGGCGATAAGAATAGTACGAACCTAGATACGTTCTAAAATAACCAACTACAGCTGTCGAGTGGTGAGACGATTTTCTTAAATTCGGGAGTTTAGTAAAAAATCTTTGTATAAATACTTAAAGGAAAATAACAATTTGACTGAGTGACTTAGTATAAGGTATTATTAAGTATTCAGGATATAGCATGTTAGAACAATTTAATGTAGTAATTACCGTAACTGCTTTGACTAATACGTACACACACGAGTGTATGTATGCATAGCATAATCTGTAACACAATTATGGTTTAATGAAATAATTTATACGGTAATAAGGAATAATTCCATAATTGTGGTGTATCGACGTTCGATATCAGGGGCTTGTGGAAATATATAAACGCAGGACGTTTGAATTGAAGT